CAACCTGTGTTTAGAGCTCGACATGTTGATGACGTTACCGCTCCCCGTGTGGAGGACTGGGCTGTTGGTCTCCCTGGTCCCGGTTGGCCTTGCTGTCCTGTTGCTGAGAGGTCACCGTTCAGCCTGCCGGTGGTCAGTGAAGCCACAAATATTCAAGTATCGCTCATTTGTTGAACGTCCATTTTCATCTCCTTACAGCTTTTCTTTTTTGGGTGAAAGCCAAGTTCTGAACAAACAAACGGCATCATCCTACAGATCAACCTGAGATATTATTACACTTTGGGCATTTTCATCTGTAGCATGCAGTAAACAGACAACCTACTGTATCGGAGCACATGCACTAGACTATTTTAGTGCCAAAGCGCTGCCCTGCCAGTGACCTCATTGGTGCACAGGTGTTTTTAAACAGGTGCATTCTGGGTGCCTAATGTTGACAGTGTGACGTTATTTGCAGTGTTTTAGAATTCCCAAATCAGCATGAAACCGACGATGCGCTCATGGCTCAGCACAGCTGTCAATCATCGTGGCTCCACAACCAGTTTTTGTGTTGCAAAGGAAATAAAAGGCGTCCGTGAGCTGCTTCCCAGCATGAGGTGGGAAATGGTCCCAACTCGGGTCCAGAAGACGAGCGCTAAACTCTAAATGGTTGGTAATGAGCGGCGGTCGCTTTTCCTCACAGCAATATCTGAAGTCAGAGCCTTTAAGAACCGTATTCCATTCTGCAGTATTAGTTTGTGCCTTGAGTTCTTTTCTTTTCTTTTTTTACTTTACATTGTGACTGAGGAGATTAGACCCGTCACATCAAACGAGAAGCTCACTGATCTGATGATGCGTACGGCTGCACCATCGCCGCTAGTGGCTGCTGGGGCAGAATCCAGGGTTCATTTCAAGAAAAACCACATCACTGAAAATACAAGCCCCTCTCCCGTCGTCTGTCTTCTTCAGTGTGCACGACCCCCACACAGACCGACGAATGGACAGAACGGAGTGACTCCATCGAGTGTGCATGATGGTCAGTGACAGCCTGATACACATCATCTGGCCTTTACTGCTTTACATCACATACAGTATTGCACCATTGTGTGAGGTTCTCTTTTTTTTTTCTGGACTCATTGATTAGAACTTGACTGATAAATCGCTGTGTGCTGGGCTGCCGGCATAAGTATTGATGTTGGTGCTGGGTGGTTGAGGTAGTGTATATCCAGACAATGAAAAGATGGGTTAGAAGTGTATTCACTGCATTCACACGGGGCGTTTGTTCATGGGGGGGTGGATCATCTGTTACGGTATGGCTGTATTAGGCAAGCTACAACTAGATCTGGAGTCATGGAAATGCCCTAGATGGGTTTAAATGAATTGGCAGAGCCGTTACACAGCGATGTCCTTTAGTAGAGCTTTGGGTTCCTCATCTTAACTGTGAGCAGGGTGGACTTGACCCTGATCAACACTGCAGGAGATCATGTGACACCGCTGAAAAGCTCCAGAACTGCTACCAGAGCCTCTTGGGTGACAAGCCGAGTAGTCCCAAAGGTTTTGGATATGATTTAGACACACGGTTGCCTTTTCATTGGTGACGAAGTGTCTTACTCAACATAGTTTGGTCACAAAGCAAAAATAAATGTTTGTGAAAAGAATACTTGTCGACATGTTTTGGTACCAAACTCTTTTGAACCATCAGCCTCCAATTCCGTTCTTAGTCCGGCTCTCACTAATCATTGTAACGGAACAAGATGGAGGCCACGAGGTGAGAGCCTCAGGAAGTGGAGCTCCTGCTAAGGCCTCAGATTTTCAGAACATATTTAGTGGTGGCGATTCCCAGAGCTAAAAGAAAGACCCAAACTAAATGAATCACCCATTCCACCCCCTCCATGGTTGTTGGACACATCTGTCCTGAGGAAGGACCAGTTTTCTGATTCCCTGTACGTCCTTGTCTCATTCTTCATGAGTCGCTCCACACTGAGAGCCAAACCCGTGGACATGTTAATGTAGCACCCCCACCAATGGGCGCCATTGTCAGACTTCTCCATTATTTGGTAACAGTATAAAAAGAGTTTGAGTCTGGTGTTGAATTGTTACTTTGTAAAGTTCTTTTTCTTGTGAAAAGATAATAAACACTTCATTGCCAAATTCTGGGAAACAGGCGTAAATATTTGTCTCATTTCTTCACATGAATCACCCAGCTTTTCTCAGGTCTCTTGAAAATGGTGTAGAAGTATATCTGCTAGCAAATCTCTTCTCCACCATTGTGGGTTTAAAAAATCCCGCCCGGCAACACATGGTGGCTGAAATATGATTGGATGAAAGCTCGAAGACAAAAACTAATCTCAACATGAGCTAAAGCTATGAAATGAAGAAAATAGACTATTGGGAATGTAGGAGCCATATTGAGCTATATTTCATGTTTGTGTGTGTGAGACGAGTCATATGGCCACAGGTCTGTGTACGCCACCTAGAGGACTGTTGGGAGGCTGAAGTTGGAGCCCAAGGAAAGGCTTTAAAGACAAGAAGACACAGCAGAGGCCTGAGAGGGAAACCGTCTTTGACCGTGTGGAGTGACATGAGGGTCCGTCTCCCACCGTATAACGGACTGCTTCAGTTTAATAGTTTGTTATTTTCACCTCATGTTTTTGGTTTATACATTAAGAGTAATAAATGGTCATTGCACCGGATCAACTTCTACTTATCTTTACAAACTGCACGCGTCAAGATATATCCAGCTGATCAGGGGGTAAAGGCACCAACGGAAACGGCGGTAGACTGGCAGACGAGACAAACGCACTTTGAAAATGTCATCGTGAAAAAAAAGTCCTCCTCCCATTCCGTATGAAAGTGATAGGTTTTTTTCTTTTTACTTGGTCCAGCACCCCCACTCATTTTTATACCCTATCTTACGTTTAAGAGGAAAAAAACGAGCGAAAAATGAGGATGTAACTAATGACTAGCTTGTTAGCTTTGCAGCGCTCAGGGGCGTTGTTTGAACACGCACAGTGACCTAATTGTACGGGGGAAAAAAATCAGATGTCATCTGACTGGTCGTCCTGTGTATCAATCAAGTGACGGGATGGCTGATAGGCTGACGTCTAGTTTTTTAATTCAAAACAACTCAACTTTATTTGTATAGCGTCAGTTCATGACAATGTCACCTCACCTTGTCATGCGATCTACCCATAGTACCTTGGAGATCGACGTATTGAGCACCCCTGTTCTAGTGGTATCTAAAATGTCCCTCAGGTCCTCAGTCTGCTGTCTTTGTTTGTGTAAAAAAGTAAATTATAGACCTTAACAGTGGAAGGACATCTAGTAATACTGATCCCCATGATCAGTATTACTAAATGTCTTAACTAGTGAACTGTCTCTTCTAGACACAGCTGATTGGTTTAACCCCTCTCCGATACATCCATCTGATAACAAGTTATTATGCAAAATATCCCCAGAGGAAGACGTTAACAGCCAGCAGTAGCAGGGCGTTCACATCGCACACTCTCCTCCAGAGCGGCGCCTCCTGCAAGGAGTTCAGCTCGCTGTGTTCAACCTCTTGAGACACCGAGGCAGAACTGGCCCCAGTCAGACCGCAGAGCCTCAGAGCTGCTCTGCGCCAACAGGATCCGGGCTGGGGGGGGAGGCCTGCAGGAACAGAGGTCGTCGGGGGTTGTGTGAGGTCGATACGAGGCTCTCGGCTGTGTCTGGACCACCAGGTGAGCCTGTACAGCTGAACAGGGAAAGGAGTCAGCTGACACATACATGTGGTTCAGACCAGCCCCCCCCAGAGTGTGACACTGTTCTTGGTTCACCTTTGTTTCCACCTGGAGTCCCCCACACTGATATAAAATATCACACATATTTCACATTTAAGAATATTCACTTTTGGATTGATTTGAGCTCTCAGGGCCACCGTACAATTGCTTCTGTGGTGTGTCAACAAGTTCCCTCCATTTTCCGTCCATGACACAGACAGAACAGAACAAACAAAGGAGATCCTTACATGTTCTTTAGGTACAGGGGCTGTGGCCAAGCTGACAGCAGCAATGATGAGGAAGGTGAGAGCCAATAGGATGAGAGCAAAGTACAGGTAGTGGACATCAGCCAGGACGGCTGGCCGACCGTCAGGCTGACCACACGATGGAGTCTCATAGGAGAACTCCAGAACCATGCGGGTCAGTCCAACCACCAGTCCAACCATCAGACCCCAGAATGCCCCCTGAGAAACACACACACATAAACATCTCTCAAACCACAAACTTAACAACGTTGAAGAGTTGGCACAGAGTAGTGTTGACTTGTTTTTAGTAACACACATTTAGCACGGCACTGCTAATCCCATCACTGGTCACTCAGTGTGTTTACATGATGGTATGATTGGAATCTTTGCTTAGTCGGACTATGCTGTCTTTTGGGGGGGAGGTGCTTTTATCCCAATATACACGGCAGTGAATAAATCGAATCATTGGCCGAAAGCATGTCATATCCAATACGATAGGTGGCGCTGTTTTTATTACAACTAGTTGTGATACAGCCATTTCCGCTTGACCGCTTCACCACTACCAACAACAACAACATCAACATTAGGAGAAAGATGGCGAGCGGAGAGCAAGGTGAAGCTACGTCCCTCTACTATCTGTGCATGATGTTAACAGGAGCACAGCGAATGCGAATGGCGCTATCGGCTGATTTGATAACGGAGAGAAGACGCCGTCGGGATCTCAAGCAGGCGCAAAGACGCAAAGTCCAGTTCCTCATCCGATTCACCGTTACATGCCGCAATAATCGAACTATCAACTGGATCGGATCGAGTTATCCAGGCGTGTTAGTCGGATCGTAGTCGGGCCGCACATAGTCGGACAGTAAAGGTGTTTACATGAAACGGATAATTCCATTTCAGTCCGACTAAGCCAGTTATTGGAATCCATTTAACCACTGAATGTCTCGAAGCATGAATGAGCATGAACCAACCCATCCGCACCTCCCACCTCATGCACACACCCGGGCAGGGGCCCTGTGTGCTGCTGGGTTCCTCTCTAGAATCATTTGGACCTGTCTGTTTCCCTCGTGAGATGCATGCAGGCTCTTTTCAAAATACACCTCCAACGTAGGTTTAGTTAGCTTTTAGCTTTCCTAATGCAACAAAAGAACTTGGTTAAGGAAAAGATGGGGTTTGGCTTCAAATAACACCTTTTTAACCTACCTGGAATTATTTAAGTACAGAAGGTAAGTAACATGACTACGTTCAAACCTCAGCACTGACACTCAGGACCTGATGAGCTTTCCTTTGTGTCAAAGTCCTGTGTTTATTTAAACGCACAGCCTCTCATCTCATAGGCCCTTGGAGGACTTTGTCCTTCTTTATACTACGTCAGCTGCTCTGAGAGTCTAATAATGTCCTTGTGACCGCACAGGAGTAAGCTCTGTCAGCAGGCGGTTCCAAGCCTATAAGCCTGTAAATCTTTAGATATCCTAAAAGATCACGTGATATGTCATTTATGTGATCATTAACCAAAAGCCTTCACAGGACTGGTGGGAACTCTAGGTGGGAACTGATGGGTCGTTGTGGCGCGTAGAGAGGGTGCGCTGGGAACCGCAAGGTTGGTGGTTCAAGTCCCGGCTCTCCCAAGTCAAAGTGTCCCTGAGCAAGACACCTAACCCCTAATTGCTCCCTGGGTTAAAATGTAAAAAGCCATGGGTTAAAAATGTAATGTAAGTCGCTTTGGATAAAAGCGTCAGCTAAATGACCTGTAATGTATCTTTGAGCTCTGTAAGTATTTGAACTAAAATGATATTTGTTTTCTAAACCACTGACTTGTTGAAAAGACACACACATCATTCAATTATAGTGGAAAATCCAGGGGTTCTGGGTGTAGCTGTTGCTCCACTCATGCCGAATCTACAATCCCATCCACTAGAGCAGTGGTCCCCAACCTCTGGCCCGTGGTCCGGTACTGGTCCGTGGCCACTTGTTACTGGGCTGCAGGAGAAAGAGAAACTTCTTTTTCATTTGACTAATGTCGCCCACGTGTTTTTTTGCCGTGCACAGCAAGTACTACCCCCTGCTGGCCGATCCGCCCGCAACGACTACTACCACCAACGGCCCTGTTACTCTGCCCTGTTTACCCACCACACCTCCAAGGCCAGCCCGCAAAACGTCTAGCATGAAACCGGTCGGTGAGGCCGACGAGGTTGGGGACCCCTGCTCTAGGGGTCAGTCTTTGTCCTCACCGCACAAGTGTGTGAGAGAGACCTACCTGCTCGTTGGCACGTGGCCAGAAGACAGCCATTAGGAATACAGCAGTGATGGGCGGAGCTAGAAAGCTGGTGACCGATTGGATATAATCAAACAGTTGTCCACTGTTGGCTGTTTGGATGACCGGAATCCACAACAGACTAACGCATACCAAGACCAGGATGAACACCCTGGAAATACAAACGTTAGGTGGACGTCAGCTTTGGGAAAGGTTAAACCATGGCAACTGAGAGACTTGTGTTTATACAATACACCTGTAGTGTTCCACTCCATTACAGAAAATGTAATTCAATTCAATTCATTTATTTATTTGGTATAGCCCAAAATCACCAATTACAAATTTGTCCGGAAGGCTTTACAATCTGAATACATGCACACACCCTTTGCCCCCAAAGCCTCCCATCGCACGGGAGATAATCCCCAAACCAAATCATATATGAAGCATCATATATTTATACTGATGAAAACAAAGGATGAAATACAGTAATAGGTTAAGCAATCAAGGGAACAGAAGTTTTAATAGAATAAGTGTATGATTCTAGTGCAAGCCACACCTGTCCAGGTTTAATTCCTCTGGCCGATCTCCAAAAAACTCCAAGAATGTAAAGAGTTTGTCTTATGTTTACAAGCTAACTATACATAACCAAATGGATCAATCGTCGTCAATCAGACACATCAAACTTTTCAGACTTTGCTCCCCTACCTTCCAACCACCATGAGCTCCCTCTCTGAGGCCTGAGGCCTGGCTTTGTGGTAGAGGTCCAGGGTGAACAGAGTGGAGCTGCTGTTAAAGATGGAGGTCAGAGATGACATCAGAGCAGCTAGCATCACTGCTAGCATCAGGCCGCGCAGACCTGCACAGACAACAACCAGATGGCCCAATGGTGAGATATCAGGGGAATCTTAGAGGTTTCAGGCCCTTCCCTACATCACAATTAAAGTTGTGCTCACTCTCACATTGTTGTTATTTTATAAAATCACTCTCACACACTGGCGACTTAATATAAGTGTGAAACTGCAGAAAAGTTACACTGTGGTCACATAAACGATTAACTAGTGGTTAACTGGTTTTCGTTACTCCTGACTTGACTGAACAGAATCAATTAAGAAAAACACGTTCTCACCATCAAGCCAGTTCAAATGCTATACTTCCCCAGCTGTTGCCTCCATGTTGCTGGTCTTTATTATCTGCATCTATTTGTTTGCCCCCTCACCATGCAGCGTGTGACAAAAGGAGAGTGGTGGCCTACAGTGGTTTGCAGGCCGATCCAACGTCCTTCTGGAAGAAGACCTTTTCCCTCTGATTTCTCTCTGTTGGTGTGACTACTGATCTATTGAGCGTATATCTATTATGATACTGTATAGCTTGTTATTGGTCCCCGATTCCAGGATGGTGCCCCATTATTTATATATATATATATACAGTATATATAAAGACAAACCTTTAATTAGAGACTAGGTTTATTCACCAAAATCCTTTGTGTTTGGTCTGAACAGACCTTTACGTTCTACCAATCCATTTATTGATCATTGATCTTTAGGGGGAAAATAATAGTAACGCAGAAGCAATTAAAAGCTCAGGAAGCATGTGGCTGTTCAATTAGAATGTTATATATATATATATATATATATATATATATATATATATATATAATAATGTTAGTATTTCACCGCCTGTAGGCTGGAGAAGGGGCCTCGAGCCTGGAAGGTCTCCTGTGGTCTGTGGCAGCAGGTCGGACCTGTGTCCACATACCTCATAGCGTATGCATATGCTTATGTATTGGGCTCTTTAGTGTGTTTATATATTTATTATTTAGATTTTTTTCTCCTCTTTTTACATCTGTAGTGGAAGGAGGGCAGAGCGAAATACAAATTTCATTGTACACAGTAAATGAATTGGTTATAATTATAGTTACACAATAAATATCTTGTGTGTATGTGTGACACCTTGTGAGAAGGTCACCAAATGAAGGTTTAAAAAACAGAAAACAGGAACCCCACATGCGATTCATGCTGCTCTGAGCAGACTGCCCCCCCCTCTACAAATATGACATGCGTCAAAGATGTTGTGTGTGTGTGAGAGACTCACCCACAGGCATCAGCTCCACCACCAGTTTAGGGTAGGCAATGTTGGAGCAGCCAACTGATGCTCCACACACAACCTGACATACTGCTGGATCCACACAGGCTACCTCATCTACACGCACACACACATACACACACACACACACACACACAAGATGAAGTGAGTTAGTTGAATTTATTTGTCCTGCCTCTTAATTTTTCAGAACAAAAGCTCCCAACCTTTGATTATTCATTCAGTAAAAGATAATACAGAGTGAGAAAAAATGTATTTAAGGTTGAGGATCTATTTCAGGCCACTACAATAATATGATAATGTGGACATTATAATGGCCTGTGATTATTATCACAAGCCATAATAATGACCAGTGGCAGCTAGTGGACTCCAGGTGTGGCTAGCCAAACAACATGAACATCCCAAAATGATTTCATGCAAAACCATGAAGGTATCAAGAAGCGCAACACTTTGTAGTTCAATATTCAACACAAAGAAATAAATCACTGAAAATCTTATTTGTGTGACCCTCACCGGCAATTCAGTGGAATATTTATGTATATACATATCTATATATATTTATTGATATAATCTATCTCTCTCTCTCTCTCTCTCTCTCTCTCTCGCTGTAGGACAAGCATACAATTTGCGCCAATATCATATTTTACAAATATTACTGAGTATTCCAGATTTCAAAAACACAGATATTGACATTTTTAATGTCAATGACACATTCAACTTCCAGAGACGTCATCACACAGAGTGGACTATTTCATCTGCACATACATTTTTACACTGGGTGGAAATGTGTTTTGGTAAAGAATTGGCCTTAATAAGGCGGCGATTAATCAAAACGATGATGTGCTTGGACATATAGAAGGATTTGATATGAGACGGACTGACCTGGGAACAGCGATCGGCTGATCATGCCGGGCATCACAACGAAGAACATGGGCAGCAGTTTGAGGTAGCCTCCCAACACACTGCCTCCTTTGGCATGAGACAAAGACTTGGCAGAAAGAGACCTCTGGACTATAACCTGCACACACACACACGCGTTGGTCTTACTGCAGTCGGAGGGACCCGCATTGAAATAATACTCTCCCTCATGATGACCATCACAACTAAACACCAACTCCTCTGTGTAGTGCCGTGAAAAAGTATCTGCCCCCTTCTTCTTTCTCATTTTCTTGTCATCTTTGTCACGTTCAAATGTTTTGGATCAAACACAGTTTCATATAAGACCAAGTAAATACAGAATGCAGTTTTTAAATGACAATGTCATTGTTTTTCAACCAGTGTGCCGCGAGAGGCTGTCAGGTGTGCCGTGAATAAAAATCATGTTTTACATACTGTCACTTCATTGGTGAAAAAAAAAGAGCCAACTTGTGTGTTTGTGTGTTCGTGTGTCGTCGCGCTGTTGGTGGTATGAAGGCTCAATACTCCACTCTGCCTGTGGGTGGCGCTACGCAGCGTAATTAATAGGCAGATTTGCTGAGGCGACAATTTAAAAAAGTGAGATTTAAGGCCGGCGCGCGTTTCTGCGTTTGCGTCTGCGTCGTTGAGTCGACGCACTCGTTTCAATTCGTGGTTCTGTGTGTGTTTCAGAGCGATTCACCTCCAGAACAACAGGCGGAGTAACGGGTTTTTGTTGAAGACAAATTTATTTATTCGTTTATTTATTTATCATAGACTTTATTGCCCCGTGCATCGACACTGATGCTTTTCATCGCGGACACATTTGTCCCGTATTTTCCTCCACAACTTTGTTCCTCTCGACCAGCAAACCGGCGTGTCTCGACAGACGCAAGGACGCGAGGAGGTGTGAAAAGCGACATAAATCAGGCTTAAGAGATACTGGGCATAAAGCCTGCGCCATCTTGGCATTAGGATCATGTTAAGTTTAACAAAACACAACAAATAGAACTCGCGTTTCCCTGATTTCTTAGAGTATATTATGCTCATGCTGAAACTATGTTTGGGATTGATTTTCATATCATTCCGGTTGTTGGTGTGCCGTGAGATTTTTTCTGTGTCTTAAGTGTGCCTTGACGCACACACTGGATTAGGGGAACAAAGCAACCCAAACCCAAATAGCCCGGTGTGAAAAAGTAACCCCCCGTTGATGAATTCTGAATGAACTGTTTTTGGAAAGCTGAGTTAAATAAATCCCTTAACTAGAACCTGTCTGACAAAGCGCAGCAGCCCTCAAAGAGAGATCTCAAAAAGTAACGCATCATAACGCAACATTTACGAAGGGCCGAGAAACAAAGTCATTGACATACGTCAGTCTGGAAAGAGCTACAAAGCCATTTCTACGGCTTTAAACTCCAGAGAAGCGGAGAGAGACACCATCCACAAACGGAGACGCCCTGGAACCGTGGGGAACCTTCCCAGTTGGGGCCGGCCCAAAATGTGGGAAATACAATTTAGCCAATCATAAATAAACTCTGCTTGGGGCAACATTGGTTTGGCAACATGCTGGAGGACAAAAAGAAATGTGACTTGGACAAAAAGTAGTTTGTCCAAGTGTTATTTACTTGGATAGTAAATCTATGTTGGAATAAATATTCAATATTTAACTGCAAAGTAGGAATGTGTTTTCGATAACTTAATTCAGGGGTTCCCAGTTGGTTGATCGTAATTGTTAGAAACATTTTACTCAACACCCATGTGAAATCATTGAACAGAATAAATACACAAAAAATGAACTTGCTTTGCTCCCTTTGTTTTGTTGTGTGATTTTAAACCAAGTTTTGTTTGTGTTTTATGGAGCAGGAGGAAGCAGCATCGAGCTGAAGGAGAACGATGTGTGGTGACATTCGGCTGTAATATCTGAAGTTAAAAGAGCTCGTATCCTATGCAATAGAAAAATAAGATGTCCTTGCATACCAGCAGTGTTCATTTTGTGTAAAAAATGCATATTAGACGAAAACTAGACTAAATGTAATTAGTTTTAGTCACATTTAACAGCCATATTAAACTCCTTTTCTTCCCTTCTCAGGCCCAGGGACCCCCTGTGTTGTGTCTACAGCTGCATAATAATAGCTTGCAGTACTTGGTTGTCCATCAGATGTCCCTCCTAGGACAGGTCTATAGATGTCCCTCCTAGGACAGGTCTATAGATGTCCCTCCTAGGACAGGCCTATAGATGTCCCTCCTAGGACAGGTCTATAGCAGGTCGGCAAACTTTTAAACTCGCGGCCACAATGGGTTGTAAAATGTGACGGAGGCCAAGAACAAATGGTGGAAGTGTTTGTGTGAGCGAATATAAATGACATGTGAAAAATCATTACATGAAAGGATTTGGATTTAACAAATAGCAAAGCATTTATTTGCGAGGCAATTTAACAAATTGGCAAAGGCGTAACAACTTCATGAGGACCAGGAATCTAAACGCAACACTTTGTGGTCTTTGTCTGGTTACTTGCAATGCTTTTGACGTGGCCACCGGAAACTTCATGGTCCTTTATTGTTTCCACTGTCCCAACTAAAGAGACCGTAACGTCCAAAATCGGTGCAATACATTATTTTCTTGGCTTCAGAACCTGCAATGACTTTATTATGTTAGACGTGTTTGGAGAAGCCTGTGACGGACCGTCTCATCCGAGGAAACGCTGCCTGCCGTCGCCAGAGAACAGAGCAGAAAGGTCCGACAGTCTTTGAACGGGTCTTCATGTTTCTGTGAAGCAGCGCGGCTTCAGCCTGCTAACAGGCAGCTAACCCGAGACAGCTGAGCTAAACTAACGAAGCCACATTCAAACTCGCCGAAGCGTAAAATAGTCGTCGCGGTCCGTAGTCGGTGCACAAGAACCACCGCTGCACCGATACGAGCGTCCTGGGTTTGTGGATGACGTCATCATGACGCGTTAATATCCGCCGTACTTTGCCTGTCTGTTGTCTGTTGGGTGCTGTTGGGAATTTAGGCGGGAAAAGGTATTGTGACTTCGTCAACCACCAACATGTTCGTCTCGTCTCGTTAACGAAAGTTAGAATAGATTTAGTCATAGTTTTTATTTTTTAAGATCGTTTTCGTCACGTCTTAGTCTCGTCTTAGTCATGGAAAAAAAGGTCGCTAACGAACATTTTTTGTCATACGTTTCGTCGACGAAATTAACACTGCGTACCAGTTAATAAATGTGTTTTCTTTGTGGTTTTTACTGACAGTATTGATGGAATCTCCTCTGCGTTGAGATTGAATTATTACTTTTAGCTGAAAGTACACGGCCTAAAGATTTAATTTGAATTTAAAATAACCAAAACAAGTTCTTCTCTCAGCCTGAAATATATCATGCTCCGGAGGAGAAGCGGATCTTTTGGATGAAATAAGATGATCTTCCTTGTTTGTACTTCATACATTTTTGGGGTTTTAGGGCTTTTATTGTTAAGCTCAGCAGGTTGCTAGGCAACGGGAGCAGTGGAAGTAAAGCTGATGACGCGAGCAGAAAGGACAGACCCTGTAGGACAGACCGTCCCATTTCAGAGAGCGCTCGGTTCAGCCTATGTGGTTGTTGGAGGACCGGTCCAGGTCTACGAAGGCCGCTGAAGGCTGCAGCTTACAAGGATGCTAGAACATTTTCAACCAGCCGCCACTGGACTTCAGTGTGGTTGAGATGCTGTGGCTCAAATGCTCAAAGACCATCCAATGTGGCTGATTTCAATGAAATCCTGCAAAGAGGGTGAGAGACTCATGGCCAGTTATCACAAACGCTTGATGGCAGTTGTTGCCGCCAAGGGGGGGGTATTAGGTTTAGGGGGCAATTACTTTTTCACATAGGGCCATGTAGGTTTGGATTGCTGCTTTCCCTTAATAAATAAAATCCTCATTTGTAAACTGTATTTTGAATTTACTCGGGTTGTCTTTGTCTGATATTAAAAATGTGTTACAAATACGCAGTTCTGCCCATACAGAACTGTATAGAAAGAGAAAATGAATCCACTCTCTCTACTCTCACTCCTAACTAACTCAATTTATATGCTATGAGTTTATATTCTCATTTTTCTTACAGCATGATGTTCATACATTTTGGCCCAAATAGAGTATAGAGCAGGTCATGACTTAAGGCTTAAGTGACAGATCTCGACCACTGCGTTGTCTGGAGCAGTTTGTTTTTTAGTCTTAGAATTTTAAGCCTTTCACTGTGTTTTCACCTCACGCAATTCAAGTGGGTCATTTCAGTCACCTAAAAATATCTTTTCCAGTGATTGGCTCAACTTATCTCTTTCGTCTCGTTTCCCCTCTGGTTGCAAAAGCAAGATGGAAGAACTTTTAGCTTCAAAACCGCAGTCTACAAAACAATGGTGATCTTCTACGTCCACTTCTTACAAACGGTGTAGGACCCTAACCTTTAAACCAAGAGATAACTTCAAACTGCCCTTTGAGGAAATTAACAGATCGGCTGTAAAAGAAAGGGGAAATTGTTCCCTAATATACACAACAAGACGCCCATATTGACACTTATTTGAGTGAGCAACTCCAGATTGTCTGTCAGCCCAAAATAAAGCTCAGTCTGCAGTTTAACGTCATTGTTACAGTTGAAAAAACTGTGTAGGAGCATAAAGACAAAGATTTGCATGAACCCATTTGTAATGACTACCGATGTAAAATCACCTGATCCGCACACCAGACCCATGTAGCCAGCACCGTCAGCCCAAACACCAGACCTGGCCAGGGCAGGTCCCCTGACACGGGGTCCCTGAACAGGCGGAAGGCGTCCCTGCGAGGTAGGTGGCAGGTGGTGTTGGCAACGGTCATCGAGGGAACAGCTGACATGTAACTCTCCACAAGGCCGTCATACCAGCCCACTTTGGAGAATGCTGGGAAATGTTCAACAAACACACGCGTCACATTTCATTCTGCGTTTGCCCATGAAATACTTTCTAGGACGTGACTAATGAGAACGTTTTATGTTTTCACTTTCACAGAAAAATAAATCAGGGGAGGAGTCGGGGTTATTGCTGTGAGATGGTTGACATGCAAATGTTCCTTCCACGATCTTTATCAAGTACCAGTTATATCGTTGATGGCATTAATTATCTAACTGTGTGTGTGTGTGTGTGTAGGTGTGTGTGTAGGTGTGTGTGTGTGTGTGTATGTGTGTGTATGTGTGTGTGTGTGTATGTGTGTGTGTGTGTAGGTGTGTGTGTGTGTAGGTGTGTGTGTGTGTGTGTGTAGGTGTGTATGTGTGTGTGTGTAGGAGTGTATCTATGTGTGTGTGTGTGTGTGTGTGTGTGTGTGTGTGTGTGTGTGTAGGTGTGTGTGTGTGTGTGTAGGTGTGTGTGTGTGTGTGTGTGTAGGTGTGTGTGTGTGTGTGTGTGTGTAGGTGTGTCTGTGTGTGTGTGTGTGTGTATCTATGTGTGTGTGTGTGTGTGTGTGTGTGTGTGTAGGAGTGTATCTATGTGTGTGTGTGTGTGTGTGTGTGTATGTGTGTGTGTGTGTGTGTGTGTGTGTGTGTGTGTGTGTGTGTGCCTTACCTATGAACATAAGAGTAAAGGCTCCACCAACCATGATCACGGTCTGAAAGGCATCCGTGTAGATCACTGCTGTTAAACCACCTACACACACAAACACACACATGTATGTAACCATCTGTTCAAAATAAGGACAGGGTCATATTCTAAATATTCCACTTCCCCCAACACGTCCCCCAACACGTCCCCCAACAAGTCCCCCCAACACGTCTTCCAACAAGTCCTCCCAACACGTCCCCCAACACATCCTCCAACAAGTCCCCCCAACACGTCCCCCAACACATCTTCCAACAAGTCCTCCCAACACGTCCCCCAAAACGTCCCCCAACAAGTCCCCCCTAACACGCCCCCCCAAAATGTCCCCAACACATCCTCTAACAAGTCCTCCCAACACGTCCCCCAAAAGTCCCCCGCAATACGCCCCACAAAACGTCCCCCAACCCGTCCCCCCCAACACGCCCTCCCAAAACGTCCCCCAACAAGTCCCCCCAAAACGTCCCCTCCAACATGTCTCCCAACACATCCTCCAACACGTCCCCCAACACGTCCTTCAACACGTTCCCCCAAAACGTCTCCCAACACGTCCCCCCCAAAACGTCCCCAACACGTCCCCCAACACGTCCTCCAACCCGTCCCCTACACGTCCCCCAACACGTCCCTGCACTAGTCTCAACATTGCGTCTCAGGCTTGGAAGGCACAAGAACGAATGTGAGTGTGTACGCGACACCGACATTTGGGCAGCCGCTTCTTGTTCAAGGTGTGAGTCAGCGATATGATTGTAGAGTATTTCTATAATATCTCAACAGGAAAATACACAAATTCAGCAATATATAATAGAAATCAATGGAATGATTGGAATAATTACATTCCATCAGAGATCAAACATTTATTTATTTATTTTTAAAGCAATGGTCAAACCACAGAGAGTTGTGGATGGTGCAGGAAGGCGGGGGCCGGGGTGAGCAGTGGGCTTGCCCATCAGCTTTAAGACCTCAAACGGGTCGTTGTTTTAGACAGGCTCAAAAGGGTTAACAATGATCCTGTTGGCTATTTTCTAAAACAAACTTGTTATTTCATACAGAACACAAAGAACTTCAGGTAAAAGGTCAAAATAATAATACGTTCACAGTAAAGTGTGTGTGTGTTTACCAGCAACAGTGTAAGCAGCAGTGACCAGCAGCAGTACGCCTGTGGACAGATAGAGGTCCCAGCCCAAGGACATCTGGATAAACATGGCCCCTGAAAATATATCTGTCTGTGTAACACACACACACACACACACACACACACACACACACACACACACACACAGATGCTCGAACACAAAGACGAACACATTCCCTTCAAAAGAGATGACTGATTGACGCGTTAGTTACATGAACAGCGCCGGTGTGTACGTGTGTCTCACTGATATTTTGGTGAAGATGTAGAGGATGAGTGACAGAACAGACATGTAGATGCGTATCCTCTGGCCTCCAAAGCGCTTGGCCAGGTACTCAGGCATGGTCACCACACCAGCAGAGATGTAGACAGGTATAAAGATCCAGCCCAGTGCCACCAGGACCCATGCTGCCTGCATGAAGACACACACACAGCCTGATAATTGTGCAGTTTTATATTCAATGCATTGCACAAAAAAGAAACACAAGATACATCCGCCCACTTTACTGGAATAGGATGCACAGATCAAAAAATGTGGGTTGTAAAGAGAATGGTAGTATATCTGCCCAGAAGTCACCAACAGTCGCAAACGACAGCTACAGGATAAGGGGTTACTCGGCATGGACTAGCAGAGCCTGGGACCCTCTGATTGAAGGACTCCTTGCTCTGCCACTGAACCATGGTGGCCCGGTCATCACTGCCAACGGTGCATCCACCACATACACCTATTGACTATATACATGTGCTGGTCGTACAATTAGAATAGCATCAGTCTGTGGTACTGCTCAGGTGTTATGAGAGCCTAGGTTGCTCCGATAGTGGGCTTCAGCTCTTCTGCACTGACTCTGCTGAGTGGTCCAAAGTAAATGTTGCATTTCCTTTGGAAATCAGGGTCCCAGCGTCTGGAGGAAGAGAGGAGAGACACACAATCCACGTTGCTTGAGGTCCAGCGTAAAGTTTCCACAGTCAGTGATGGTTTGTGGTGCCATGTCATCTGCTGGTGTTGGTTCGCCGTGTTTTCTGAGGTCCAAGGTCAACGCAGCCGTATATCAGTGTGAGGATCCCTGTCTAACCCTGGTGTGTTTTCCCTCTGTTTCCCCCATATTCTCTCCTCATGTTGATGTCATTCCCCTGTTTGTTATTGTTTTGCCATGTGCTTGTGCTCTTGTTTCTGTGTCCCCAGTAGTGTCCTCAGAGCCCCGCCCAGTGCCACGCCTTCCTCCATTGACACAGCTGTATCTCATCGTCCCATTAGACCAGCTGACTTAAATACTCCGGCTTTCCTCGTCCCAGTTGTCAGTCCGTCCGTTAAGCCCCCCCGGTACCTCGGCGCCGTGAGTTATTCTGTTGCAGCCCTTGTGATCCTGCGATAACCCCTTGTTTTTCACCCTTGCCGTCCAGCGTCGAACCTCGGAGATTCACCTGGCCGAAGAGGTAGCCAGTTAGTTCCGCGGAGATCAGCTGAGCACCTACAAACTCCTGCGTCGAGCCTCGGGTGTCACGCAGTCGAGCTCCTCTGCCTGTCACTCACCATTGACTTGTGTTTTCGTGTTGCCTTTGTTTTTTCCCTGCCGGAGAAAATAAATAACCCCTGTTGGAGAAAGAGAAACCTTGGTGGTCCAGCGTGTTGCATCTGGGTCCGTTTGCACATCATAACAACCAGGAAGCTTTAGAGTTTTACTTCATCCTTTCCTGCTGCTGACCAACTTTATGGAGATGCAGATTTCATTTTCCAACAGGACTGCACACGGTGCCAAAGCAACCAGTACCTGGTTTAAGGACCACGGTATCCCTGTTCTTTTGGCCAGCAAACTCCCCTGACCTTCAGGAATCAGGAATCAGGAAACATTTATTAGCCAAAATATGTCAAACATACAAGGAATTTGTCTTGGCGGTTAGTGCGCGACAGTAGACAGACAAGACAACAGTGCACAAGTAATAAAATAAAGTGGAATGAAATGCTAATGCAATGGGTTAGTAGAATAAGGCTAAGGCTATGGGTTAGTATAAAACAAGGGAATAAAGTTAAAAAAATTTAAATATTAAAAAGTTAAAAAGAAAAGTATTAAGCATAAAGTGCACTAACAAACAAGTAACAGACAAGAGACAAAGTGACGAGTGACAAAGTGATGAATTGCAGTTAAAGTGACATGTGCAGTGTGAGGGGGAGTGACCGGTGGAGTGTTATAGTCAGTCAGTGGGGGACCGGCTCTGTTGATGAGCCCGACTGCCGACGGGAAGAAACTGTTGGTGTGGCGGGAGGTCTTAGTCCTGATGGACCTCAGCCTCCTGCCAGATGGAAGGGGCACAAACAGTTTTTGTCTGGGGTGAGAGGGGTCGGCCACGATCTTTTTAGCTCGCTTCAGAGACCTGGAAGCGAACAAGTCCTGCAGGGACGGCAGTTTGCAGCCGATCACCCTCTCTGCAGAGCGGAGGACACGCTGCAGCCTGCCCTTGTCCTTGGCTGTGGCTGCAGCGTACCAGACGGTGATGGAGGAGCAGAGGATGGACTCCATGATGGCCGCGTAGAAGTGGACCATCATCGTCTTTGGCAGGTTGAATTTCTTCAGCTGCCTCAGGAAGAACAACCTCTGCTGAGCTTCTTGGTGATGGAGCTGATGTTCAGCTCCCACTTGAGGTCCTGGGTGATGATGGAGCCCAGGAAACGGAAGGAATCCACAATAGTGACGGGGGAGTCACACAGGGTGATGGGGGAGGGTGGGGCTCTGTTCCGCCGGAAATCCACAACCATCTCCATCGACTCGTCCCCACCAGAGATTAGTCCAATGAGGGTGGTGTCCTTAACCCCATAGTAAATCTATTGTGAAGAGGATGATGCGGTATGCCAGACCCAACAATGCAGAAGAGCTGAAGGCCACTATCTGAGCACCCTGAGCTCTCATAACACCTGAGCAGTGCCAGACTGATCGACTCCACGCCGCATTAGACGACATTAACTATTGAGTGCTGTACATGCTCCTACTTTTCATGTTCATACTTTTCAGTTGGCCAAGATTTCTAAAAATCCTTTCTTTGTATTGGTCTTAAGTAATATTCTAATTTTCTGAGATACTGAATTTTGGATTTGCGTTAGTTGTCAGTTATAATCATCACAATTAATACAAGAAATAAACATTTGAAATATATCAGTCTGTGTGTAATGAATGAATATAATACACAAGTTTCACTGTTTGAATGGAATTCGTGAAATAAATCCACTTTTTGATGGTATTCTAACTATATGACCAGCACTTGTATACAGTATTGCAGTTGTAGCGTGTACTACGGGAGTAGATCTCCTGGAGGCACAATGTGTTCCTTACGTTCCATTCAAATCCCCCCACAGCGATTCCTCCTGCTGCTCCTGTTCCTGCTAAACCGATAAACAAACCGCTGCCAACGTTACTGGACATCAGAGAGGCTCCAATCTGGAAACACACAGAGCAAACAGGAAATACTTTTGATCAATTGAATGCATGCAAAGTTAGGAAATGCTTTAGATTACAGTGCTTGTATTACAGTGTAGTTGTTCATTACGTCGATGGACTAAATTGTCCTTGTTGTGATTGCCATGCCTGGTGTCTGATGACCAGGCTTCAACCTAAGAAGAATCTATGTAACCCTGTCTGGAAGTCTTGACCACAGCCTCACAGCTACAGTCTGAATCCAGCTGTTTGGGAGACTTGTGGTCCACCTACTCCTCAGGCGTTCACGTCAGACTGTCAACACTCATCAACTGCTGGTCCACCCTGTGGGACTGAGCATGATTCCTGAGCACACTGACGTTGTCAACGACATTTGTAAAGAGCCCCAATCTGTCCAAGCTGTCCATGTGGGGGAAATACATTCAACTGATTCATTTTCTATTTATCTATCTCAGAAATCAGAGCCGATACCATCCAGAAACCTGGGACGAGATGCTGGTATCGACCTGCAGCTGCAGGGACATGGTCTTCAAATGAGGACTTCGGGGCAGAGGATGTTGCATGTGTCTAAAGCCCTCTGAGGCAAATTTGGGATTTAGGACTTTTGGCTATTCAAAATAAAATTAATTGAATTGAAGTATAGTCTAGTAGCATTAGGGAATTGGAGCATTAAAGAGTATCTTCTAATAAGACAGTAGAGATGTAGAAGACATTTTAAATCTGATTTAACTGTGTGAAATGGTACAAAGTGACAGATGTTTTTAACACGTGTTAAAAAAACATGTTAGAGCTGAGGAAACCCTCTGCGGCTCCATTGTTGGCATATAAGAATCATTCAAATTGTGTATGTGGGTTTGGGTCAATATATTACAGCTCAGAATAATGGAGGCTTTTTTATTTTACTAAGTGAATGCACACACCAAGCATGGATTTGGTTATTCGTTATTTGTTATTCATACTGTTTACGCTATGCTACTGACTCCTGACCTGTCCTCTACCAACAGAATAACAAAGAGACGTGCACGTCAGTCACACGTCTGGTACTCACAGGCCACCACGTCATTGAACGGCCAGCCAGGAAGTAGCCCTGTACGGTGCTGCGATTGGCTCGCGCTGATGACTGTGGAGGGGGCAGAGGTCAAGCTCAGGCCAGCAGAGAACACCAAAGTGTTCTCATGCAGTATCACACATTTACAACCAATGAGCACCACTTTACTTACTCGAAAGAATGAATAAAACACGTACTGGCTCAACAAAGAACAAACACCCTTCAGGTAGATTATGAAAGAAATACCCCAAATCTAGATACCTGATAGCATTAATTGCTTGGAGATTCTCTGATCATATTCTGGGACTACTTTGTGAACTTTGTTCAATAGCATTTGTGAAATACAAAAATGGTTATTAAACACATTTCATGTCAGAAAATCAGCTCCAATCTAAATCCAGAGCATATTTTTGAGTGTGGGGGGGGGGGGGGGGGGTGCCCACCGGGGTTCTCCCTATTAAGACCACTGAACAGCTGGGTCGCAGAAGGTAACCCAGCTAGCTGAGGGACTTGATTTCTAACTGAAAAGACCCAAAATAGTGTAGGTGGAAATGTTACATGAGTGGACCCATTTTCAGGTCTTACCCAGATCCCAACCACCATGACAAAGACGAAGTAGACTACAACCACAGCGATGTCGGCAGCATCCAAACTGGTACCTGTGCCAGGAGAGGCTGGCGTGGTGATCGCCGAGGAGCTGCTGCCTGCAGCTGTGAAGGCACAAACCGAAGCACACAGCAGAAATATAAGTACAACGTTTTTTAACCTGTGATCCAACAAGGTGTAGAGGATGCCGGAATGTCAGCTCTGGCAGCAGTGGGGCTGAATTCACAGTAACTGTGTGGCTGAAGAGATTTGAAAGGTTTGACTCTTTTACTCAAGTCACTCATTATAGGAAGTCGGACTCATCGAGTCCCTTCAGTCAGCAAGTCAGTCATCCAGTGGCTAAGCAACTCTAGCAGTATCGAGGAAATCAGCTGACCAGCACGCAGTCACACGTTTCACTACTTAAACCGACAATAGAAAACAGAAACTAATTACAGACTGTTGGGTTTCATGATCGGTCAAGAACATCCTTCTGAAAGAGGACATATTTAAGGTTGGTTGATGTTGGTTGAGTTGGACCTTCAGCTCAGGCCTCAGAGAGCCAGCGTGAGCGGAAATGTGAGGCGAGTGCTTTTCCTCACAGAAGGTCTAGTAGCAGCAGGTAGAAGCCGGTCAGCTGTGAACCACTTATTGGAGATTAGAAATGGAGATTGAGCCGTTTTTAACCATTCAATTGTGATCTTGATCCTTAATGAAAGCAGAATTGATTCTTGTTTTCGATGGAATACACTTTGATTTTTAAACAGGTTTTAGTATTTGACCTCAAATGTACTTTTTACAGACATTTTACTAGCAATGATACATCACTTAGCTGTCCTTCCTTATCGTAGCCACAGATAGGCCGATAAGGTCGGTCTTACCCAGGCTGAGGTTGGAATGAGAAGGAAGGTGTTGTCGTGAAAAGCTCAGACACATTCGGTCCTTTCATTCCTGTAGAGAGTCTCTGAATCAGCTGTTGTAACACACATCTCTGCATGTGTACCTGTGTTGTCCTGTGTCCTGTTCTGCAGAGCTGTCGGTAAAGTATGCTTCGGACCTGCCATGAGAACAAAGCCATAGTTTGCAGAAGGGCATACCTGTAGTGAGACTGACAGACATGTTGATTCTGATCTCCCAGACTGTGTTAAAGACACTGGGTCCTCCAGCAGTTGTCCTGTACAAGTTCCTCTGTCTGTCGATCCTGCTGGTTAACCCGACACAGGCATGATAATCACTGGTCTCCATCTGGAGCTTAATTATTAATCAGTCTGTTATCGGTTGGCTGTAAACCCGACACACATGGTATCATGGGGTGCAGTTGGCTCTGGCTACAGTTCAGCACTGATTTTTTCAGTCTTGATATCGATCTGTGGGCCAGAAGCACACTGTAACAAATTGCTGTAGATTTACGGTGTATTTCTAACGGTATCTCACAGTATGTGATAATAACTGTAACATACAGTTAAATTTCCATTCCTTGCTTGTAAATTAACGGCCAATGTCACAAATAAACAGTTAAAGCTGTCAATTTACGACTACCCTAATTCAACTGCATGTTACATATATTTTATGAAGTGGTGGAAATACAAGTGCAGTGAATCACAATCCATCTACATCTGTTGTAGGTTAATGTATGGAGCCCATGTCAGCCACTGAAAAACAGGTCCTGTAAGTCATCATAATGAGATGAGATAGTATCTCATGAGATACGATGATAACTTTGACTTACAGGACATTACTATACATGCAGCTGTCACTTTTACCCAAAACGCCCATGGTTTGACATAATTTATGTGGAGTAATTGGGGGTTAGGTGTCTTGCTCAGGGACACTTCAACTTGGCACAGGGAGCAGCCAGGATTCAAACCGCCAATTTCATGTTGCACACCACACCCTCCCTATCCCATGCGTCGCCTTTGCCATTGTTTCAGGGGCCGGAATGTAAAGGTTATAAATGTTTGTATTATTCAAAGTGTTCATTGCCTAAAAGTCATTTGAGTGTTAATCTGACCCACTGCTCCTGAACGTGACGTCAGACGTAATCTCAGTTCATCCAGAACACCTGGCAGTTCATCATCGGAGGAGCTTCTCATTGCCTCGTCTCTCCAAGTAACTTTGGTAAGTGTTATTTTCCTAGCATGATTAATATTCTCCTTCCTTACATCTTGTTGTCTTCCTCATCTTTGTAATTTTAATATTTTACCAATGACAATATTTCATTTTGGTTTGTTTTATAGAGTCACTGGATTAAGGACGCCAGCTGTTTGCTGCGGTCAATTGAAAGTGTTCCATAGCGTATTGTTGCAGTTAGTTTACCTCGTTGATTTTATGATTCATTTTTTATTATTGTATACATGCGGCATATTTTATGTTTTGTTCTTGGTTACAAATGTCTAACATTTTTGTCTTAAAGGCATCTAATAAACTCCAACCACTATGACCGAAATTATTTTGTTCGTCTTTCTTTAATTTGTGAGGGGAATAAACGTATACGGTTATAAGTAAACGGTAACATTCTAGTATTTATAACACAAAAACAGTAATCTTATTATAACAAACCATAATCCAATATACGGTAACATAGTGTATTCTACGGCAGTGTACAATAAAAAAAACGCAAATTACTGGCATCTGCTGTGAGTATTTTACCGTTAATTGACTGTAAAGTTCACGCCAATTTACTGTAATCCATTTTACGGTAACATAGTGTAAAAAACATTTACAGTATTATACCATACAATAACGGTAAATTCCTGGCGTCCTTGCTGCAAGTAAGTTACCATTAATTTACGGTGACATTTTTTAGAGTACGAGTACGGTACAATATCAGCGTTTAACCCTTATATGGTGTCCAGGTCTGTGTTTTTTCAAACTCAGACCCCATATATCAGACCACATTTTTGTTAACCCCCCTGCCCCCCCCATACACATTTGTATTACATACATAGTGTTGGGGTCCACCCGAGGCAACTAAAAGTGCGGAAATTGTAGGTTCTGTGTACCTTCAGTCTTACAAGTCTACACTGGGAAACCTGATGAAGGACGCCTTGAGAAAAATCAAGGGATGGGAGTTGTCCTGGACATGGCTCAGGGACTCAGTGGACACAACAACGCACGTGGCAAAAGAGGAAGCTGGCCGTGGTGGGAATGATGAGGAAAAACAGGTCTGAGTTCCCCAACATTCTAAATGGGTTGAAGTAAACATTTGTTGAGTATTTTAACATGAGATTGTTTGATTGTGTTGTATTAACAATCCAAAAATACAGCTGCTCCAACAGACCCACAAAAAGTAACAAAAAAATAAACTCCACACAAGGGTCAATTAACACGTTGTATGTCTCGTGACTGGGTCGGTGTCCCGTAGGGGTCATTGTTGTATATGTAAGGTAACATCCCACAAAAAATGTTTTACTAAGTAAGCAATGAATAAAACAATGTTTAACACATACATGCATAGATATACATTTATTGAATGTGTATTAATTAAAAGAATGGCATCCAACACATGAGCAGGCCTTTGGGAGATCATGCGCTAGGTCTCGTCTGGGTGTGCATTTACACACGTGTAGAAACCTGGAGGTACAGTGTGTTACACTACACGGAATCCTTTCTGCCCCGGATGTTACGCCTCGAAGGACGCTGAAGGAGAAATATTTGTATTCGATTAGGCGCTGACTTTATTTGCTTTGATACAAAGTGATCCGGGGAGCTCCCGCTCACTGGGTGGCGCCGCCGTGCGGCTCGCTGGGTGGCGCCGCCGTGCGGCTCACTAGGTGGCGCCGTGCGGCTCGCTGGGTGGCGCCGCCGTGCGGCTCACTAGGTGGCGCCGTGCGGCTCGCTGGCTACAGTAGAAGAAGAGGAGAGCTTTGTCCTTCCGGTCAGACCTCACGGTCGTAAACATGTCTCTGATGAAGCTGTGCGCGCCACGCATCGTGTTTTCACGGTAAGACTCGTGTGTTTGCGGAAGTAGACCCGCTTGTCGCTGGTATTTGGTCACATTCAGCCCACCGGTCAGATAACGCAGCGTAGCTAACGTGCTAACTTCCGGTCTGCGCGGGTTAGCGGGTGGACGTCAGCTGTGTGTGTGTGTGTGTGTGTCGTTACGAGCAGGTGCGTGTTCGCGGCCCCGCTCCACACGCAGCCTCCCCGGCTGAACTCCAACAGGACGTCGGTGGTGCGCTGCAGCCGCCAGAAGTACGAGCGACTGTTCCCGGTGGCGCTGGTCCGGCCCGACGGGTCTACGGTCAACATCCGGTACCGGGAGCCCAGACGCATCCTCATGGTCAGTGTTCACCGGTGTGACGTCCTACTGCAGGTCTGTCTACGCGCGCGTGTTTGTGTCCATACAGCGGCAGATGTTTTCTGCCTCACCTGATTCGTCACACATTCGCTAACATACTGCTGAAAATGTTCTAGGAGTGTATAGGTGAGCACTACGTCACTGCCACGTATGAAGAAAATAATGGATTCATTTTATTACAATACACTACAAGTCGGCTGCACTACGTCAGCCACTCGAGCCTAACGGACTGCTGTCTTCTATACTGTCCATACTATAAACTGTACAGCGTCAGTGGCTAGAAACCCTTTTGCTTCGGCGTGAACCAAGACAACTGGTTTTTGGTGTCGTGGAACACAAACATGTGTATGGATGCTTCTCCGCCCGGCTGCAGCGCTGCACCACGAGGGCCCATTCTGTTCGTCATACAGCCATTTAAGAAACATATTTAATGAACGATCGCTACAATCTACACAAAATGTGACCCTTTTCCTCTGCCGTTGTTGCTGAGGTGAAATGCATTCTGGGATATTTGGCTCTCACAAGGACCAATGCCTTCTGGGTAAAATGGGCGGGGCGAGTCGCATCCGGGTATTCTGACCGTTCTCGGTGAGATGCGGACTTTAGAAACTCACTCTGCTGCGACTGATGACGTTTCACGAGTCCACAAACGCACAAGAAAGCAACGTGTTGAGAAAGAGCCGCCGTCCTGATGATGAACGAACCGAGAGCCCTGATCTGTCCTGTCGGACCCACATCACGTCTTTGGTCCAAGTAAGACACGCATGCTCATTCCAGTGTTTAACGGTTTCTGTCTGTGTTTTAAAAGATGCCAGTGGATCTGTCCACGCTGTCTGAGGAGGAGCGTCGAGCCAGACAGAAGAAGAGGGAAGTGAAGAAGACAAAAAAGCAGACAGCCGTCCTGTACGAAGACGACTTCAAAGTGGACACATACAGCCAATTCTGGAAAAAGAAATGACTTCTGTGTGTATGTTAAATAAATGGTGCAAACATCCGACTCTTACTCCCATTTTTCCAGCCGCAGATGTGGTCATGCTAAAATAAGGGATTCCTCCAAAAGGTGACGTGGTGGGACATTTGTTGGCCGGGTTACTGACAGGCTGCCGAGTGCTTAGACTAGTGTAAGGATGAAATAAGTAACGACGATGACTTAAAGTTGTCTGAATCTGTAGTCCGTGTCAAAAAAGTGCTCCGTGTTTATTTTTTGGGGAGCTGCTGTGCCTCAGGAGCACCAACCGCCAACACTAACTCCTTGTGTGTTGACATATTTTGGCAATAATTGTTTCCTGATTCCTGAGCAGTGGACTCTGCTTTACGTACACGGGTTTAAGTCAGTCAGAATAATGTTTGTACTGCACACATGAAAAGCCCACCTTCCTGAATAATAAGTCCTATAAATATGGCAGTAGTCTCCGTGTGACGTAATAACGCGCGGCAGTGCCTCAGCCTCTCCCTCCAGTAGGGGCGCTAAAGAGAGTCTCGCGATAACTGCGCTCCCTCTGCGCGTCCTTGTTAAATCCAAAATGGGGTACTGGGAGCTGCCAGAGGGCACCGGCTGTGTGGAGAAAACATGGATCACTACCAAGTTAGCCACCGCCATAGGTAAATATTAGTAGCCGTTATGCTACAATGCGAGCGCGGGTTGCGTCCGCCGCAGGTGACGCTTGTTGCGCTGAGCCCGCACAGATACGCGCGCTAACTAGCTTGGATGTCCGGGCTAATGCTCACGAGCTGCGTCCAACACCGATGACATCCGGTCCAACTGTGTCTCTGAGTGCGTGTGGACTCCGCCGACGACACGGAAACACCACAAAATAACTAGACGGTACTGGTTTGTTGGACGGGTTGGTATCTGAGGTAACGTTACTAGTGAGACAGAACGTTACTTGTGAGACAGAAGGTTACTTGTGAGAGAACAAGTGAGACAGAACAAGTGAGACAGAACGTTACTTGTGAGACAGAACGTTACTTGTGAGACAGAACGTTACTTGTGAGCCAGAACAAGTGAGACAGAAGGTTACTGTGAGACAGAACAAGTGAGACAGAAGGTTACTGTGAGACAGAACAAGTGAGACAGAAGGTTACTTGTGAGACAGAAGGTTACTTGTGAGACAGAACAAGTGAGACAGAAGGTTACTTGTGAGACAGAAGGTTACTTGTGAGACAGAACAAGTGAGACAGAACGTTACTTGTGAGACAGAAGGTTACTTGTGAGACAGAACAAGTGAGACAGAACGTTACTTGTGAGACAGAAGGTTACTTGTGAGACAGAACGTTACTTGTGAGACAGAACAAGTGAGACAGAACGTTACTTGTGAGACAGAACAAGTGAGACAGAACGTTACTTGTGAGACAGAAGGTTACTTGTGAGACAGAAGGTTACTTGTGAGACAGAACAAGTGAGACAGAACGTTACTTGTGAGACAGAAGGTTACTTGTGAGACAGAACAAGTGAGACAGAACGTTACTTGTGAGACAGAAGGTACTTGTGAGACAGAAGGTTACTTGTGAGACAGAACAAGTGAGACAGAACGTTACTTGTGAGACAGACCAATTGAGACAGAACGTTACTTGTGAGACAGAAGGTTACTTGTGAGACAGAACACACGGTTACGTTTGGAACAAGTGAGACAGAAGGTTATAGTGAGACAGAACAAGTGAGACAGAAGGTTACTTGTGAGACAGAACAAGTGAGACAGAAGGTTACTTGTGAGACAGAACAAGTGAGACAGAACGTTACTTGTGAGACAGAACAAGTGAGACAGAACGTTACTTGTGAGACAGAACAAGTGAGACAGAAGGTTACTTGTGAGACAGAAGGTTACTTGTGAGACAGAACAAGTGAGACAGAACGTTACTTGTGAGACAGAACAAGTGAGACAGAACGTTACTTGTGAGACAGAACAAGTGAGACAGAACGTTACTTGTGAGACAGAACAAGTGAGACAGAAGGTTACTTGTGAGACAGAACAAGTGAGACAGAAGGTTACTTGTGAGACAGAACAAGTGAGACAGAACGTTACTTGTGAGACAGAACAAGTGAGACAGAACGTTACTTGTGAGACAGAACAAGTGAGACAGAAGGTTACTTGTGAGACAGAAGGTTACTTGTGAGACAGAACGTCAGGGTGATTGACGGACTGACTGATGCACAATCATGGTGCTGGTGTCAAACACCCTTAATAATGAATACTAACAGTGTCAACGTGTAGGCGTTATTTCAACCACGAGTACTTCCACCATTTAAACAACTGCCAACACGCACACACGTGTACACAACCCCGGCCTCCTGCCTCCACGTGTGACTCTGCTCTTTGTGAACTTCTATGAGATGTTACTAGGCGTGTATCGTAGGATGTCCAATAGACTCCCAGTCCGCTGCAAGTAGAGCTTTGTCCTGATGTCTCTGGCTTCCTGTGTGTTTCCAGGCCTGGTTGGTTCCGCCTACCACTTGGTGGCGTTCCAGCCGGATTCTGCATTGGCCGCGCTGCAGAGGGCTACCAACGCGTCCGTCACCATGGGTACGTACTGTAATCGATGTGATCATTCCCAGCAATTACTGAATGAGTCATTAAAATGATAATGCACTTGATAGCGTCTTTGTTCTGCACATGGTGAGGGCGGACCCAGTCATGTGACCCGGCACTTGGTCTGCTCGGCCTGTTCTCTGCTTCCCACGTGGGTAAACTAGTGTAATGTGATACGAGTGTCCGTCTGTGTCGTCTCAGCCTCCCTAGGAGCCATTTTCGGCATGGCCACTTGTCTCAGTGCTCAGGCCCGTGAAGCCCCAGAAGACCCCCTGAACTACTTCATCGGGGGCTGCGCCTCCGGCATCTTCCTGGGAGCCAGAAGTAAGTAACTGAGCCGGCAGGGATTCTGGCTGCTTTCCATCCAGCCAAAGCTCTGTCCTCAAACACTACAAACAAAAGCAATTGTGAAGAATCAACAACACAACAGGGCTGAGCTGCAAAAACCAATAGATGCAGATGTGTAGTTAACTGCAAGCAAGCTACACAAAACACAAAGCTGTCCTTCATTGACGGGGGGCAGTTGGGACATTGTGGCGCGGCGGTGGTTCTGACAGCTTGGAGTAGCAGCAGGGGGCGGGGCTTAGCCCACGACTATGAATAACGCGGCTGGGATCAATTGGGTTCCTCTGTCTCGCCTCAGAGAGGAGCCACGTTAGCGAGCGAGAAGCTGCCATGTGACCATCAGCGGGTCCACAGGGCTTCTCTTCAGGTCAGGGGTCACCGACCGCAGCCTGCAGCCCCCGCTACATACGTACTATACATACTAACTTAACCCTAGAATAGGACCGACGTGTGGACATCTACTGTAGTTTGCTAATGGAGACATTGACATGTGCATTGTAGGGCTGTGTACCTGAAGCTGTCTACGTTTCAAAGTACTGAGTTGAATTGGATCTCAAAGCAGCCGATGTGTGTAGTTTAGAGGCCTGACTTTGGTAGAATATTACGTTTCCATAGTAGTTGTGTTATTGTGTGATAGATCGCCTGCAGTGGGACTGGCTGATATTATTGTTCGGCCTCCACCTTTCCTTTCATGGACTGTTCTAGTTATTGGAGACGGTGTGAAGTATCTCATCCGTCCGTTTGTCTCCAGCCCACAGTGCCGCCACCGGTACCACGGCCTGCCTGGGACTGGGCACGCTGGCCTTCTTCACTAAAGTGGGTAAGACGGAGGGGTGGAAGCTGGCCGGCCCGCCCAAACTATGAGGAGGAGGACGGCTGTACATTTCCCCATGTGTTGTAAAAAGAGTTCATGTAATAAAGGTCTTGTGAAATAAACTCTTGAGTCTGTCTACTAGTTGGGGGACGTCTGAGAAGATGCTTTGGGCGAGTGCAGGTATCTTCACGTCTCTGATGTTGTCGCATCTGTTAAACTGTAAACCACCTCCAGGTGACATCCAACTTGGGAGAGAGGGCATCCTCTAAAACACTCGGGCGCTTCCTTTTGACCCCCGGCTCTAAAATAGCTGTTTGGTGCTTTGGAAAGTGAGCCTGCATTCAAAGAACGTATAAATATCATTTATTGTATTCATATTACATTGTGGAGGGTTTGAATGGTCGGCCGCCTTGCAAAACAATGCCGTTGTTCAACATAAACGGAAAAATGCATCATTTAATTAAATGAATAGCTTGAATGAATGTGAAATAAACCTGTTTGACCATCACGTTTATTTAAACTAGTGTTGCTTTATTCTACTATGAGCAGGGGGTGTCATCTTCATTTATTGGTCTCGTATTGTCATTGAGAAGGTAAATTGCCCCCAATGAGCGGGACACCGATCTGAACAGAACTATATTCACTGGGTTCTAGCAAGTACTTGTATGAGTAAGAAGTATTGTAGTGTGGAGGAAGAGGCCAATGGGGCGTCTCCCCTCCTCGACCCAACATATGAAATTATAAAAAAACGTTTGTGTTTTTGAAATATGGAATGGACCCAGTAATGTTTTTAGAAAAGATGCTTTTCCTAAAGGTTGTTGTGGAAGATCAGTAAATAAGAATAAGGTTCTGAGTCAAATAGGTCTCAGTAGACCTCAGAGCCTTTCTCCTCCACCTCAGGGCAGTTCTTCTACCTACAGGTGGCCTCCAAACCAACCTGTAGTGTCTCTCAGTCAGTGGGAGACACTCACCTATATCTCCATGTTGGTTCAATGAAACATTCTGAAGGGTTACATACATTTTTGCCATTACAAGGTCTGCGTGTCAATCGCACGTCCCGTCTTCATGCGTGTTCTAGCTGCGGTCTCGAGACCGCCGGCGGGTCTGAGAAGCACAAACTGCTGATCAAATAAAAAAAGTGACACACAATTTAGCCGATCAGCGTCCTTAAGTAGACTTTGTTCTCTCCTCAGGGACGTTCTACTGTAATAGGAAGAACATTCCCCTTGTTCTACTTTATGTATATCGAGTTACATCCCTCTTTATGTGTATAGAGAGAAATATATATAGAAATATACACACAGGTAAAAAGTTTGAAACTTTTCATGGAAATGAACTGGAGTATACAGGAAAACTGGACATATTGCTCATAAGCAGACATGCATGCAAACATTTCTAATACAAATGTTCGTACCAGTACCCATGGAGCATGGTCCAAATGCTGCAGCCTACCTGGGTGTTGCTGACCGTGTCCATCCCGTTATGACCACAGTGTACATCGTCTGATGGAGCCTTCCAGCAGAACGACGCACCGTCACAAGCTCACATCTCAAAATGCTTTCTTGAACATGACAATGAGTTCACGGCCCTCCAAAGCCACATCAAGCCAACGTGCTGGACCGGGACAATCACGTCAACATGGACCAACATCTGTGAGGAAAGGTTCAACGTATAACAGTGGCGCAGGGGTTAGAGAAGGTGTGCTGGGAAGCACAAGGTTGTTGGTACGATTCCAGGCTGCCCCATGTTCCATGTCGAAGTGTCCCGTGAGCAAGACACCTAACCCCTAATTGCTCCCCAGGCAAAAATGTGAAAAAAGCCACGGGTTTAAAGTGTAATGTAAGTCGCTTTGGATAAAAGCGTCTGCTAAATGACCTGTAATGTAATGATGCAATAAAAGTTACAAATTAGTATTTAGTTATTGTACATTTACAGTTTTGCATTAAATCATTCTGGGATGTTCGCTAAGCGAAGAGAAATAGCTTTTGTAATAAAATAGAACTACAGTATGTTGGGAAGATCCAGTGGACAGAAGGTCTGTGACCTCTTGAACAGATACATGGTGTTCCTGAGATAAACACATGTCAATGTAGCGACACGAGGCCTGATGTGTGTGTGTGTGGGCGAAGGCAGTTTAAATATTCTAATGTTGCCTGACAACTACACCCTGGGAATTGTTTTAAATCTTCTCAACCCAACAAAAATAAGAAAAGGGGGACGCACTCAGGTTCGTCGCAAATGAGGCAGAGACGATATTTAAAATTCAAAATGTTCTGAAATTCAATTGACTGTTTAAAAACAACAGTAAAAACCTCTGGGACGAGTAACGAGGATGGACTGTCCAAAGAAAAGAGGACCCAAGGAGCACCACACATGGAACTACTACGTGAAGCAAACTCAAACTTGCAAAGACAACAAAACTCAGCACCTGAATGGGGGGAGATGAGCAACAGGTTCAAAATAAAAGAAACTAAACAAAAACTAATACAGAAAAGACAATAAATAAATTGATCCAAACAAATAAGTACGGCCTGTTTCTCGTTAAAATAAGTCTTTACCCAGTCAGGAGGCCCACAGCGAAATACGCAAAAATGAGCAATGTGGGGAGGCAAAGACGAAGCAGACAAGGTGAACTAAAGGCTGCCGCATGATGTGTGTCGACGCACTCGTTTCACTACATGGTTCTAAAGTCTAAAGTCTTAATAACGGCCGTATTGTGCTATGAAAACAGAAATGTGAGACTCCGTAAAGGACGTAGTCAGCAGACCAATCACAGCCTTGTGCGCTGCAGGAGGCTGCGTCGTTTTCGACACAAGCCTAGAAAAATGGGTCAACGCACGCAAGGAGGTGTGAAAAGACACGCAAGGGACACGCAAGGACACGCGTCGCTCTGAAAACGCAGAAGCATAAACTAGGCTTAAGGCCAAGCAGACCCAAACAAGGTGAATTTAGCCAAAGGCAAAGCAGCAGTGGTCTCTAGCAGGTTAGGGGGTGTAGAGCTGCTGCTCAATGATCCTTTGCCCTCCAATACAAAACAGACATGAGAACTTTACTATGGCTGGAGGAGGGAGCTAAAGCCACCGCGATTCAGACCCAGCTGAGATATTAGGACCAATCACTGCACACTGCCACATCAAGGATGATCTGTGAACCAGGATCTGGCGTAGTACCGTACGCTTGAATCATGACTTGTATGTGTGTCAACTCTGCTTCATGCTTGCAAGCATTTAATAAATGTCCTGTTTGGTGTCGAGTAAAACCTTTCTGACAATCTACTCCTGTGGCAGACATGTGGGAGACGTATGGGAGGAGACAGAAGGGAATGGGGTTACCCATCAGAAGAGCAAAAGCAATAGGGCAAAGATTCATGGTTCAGACAATTTGTTAGACTGTTAGACTGTGACCGTATAACAGAAAAGTTACTGAGCACATGGAAACAGGCTGATTCCAATCAGAAATCAGGAAACATTTATTGCCAAAATATGTCAAACATACAAGGATTTTGACTTGGCTGTTGGTGCATGACAGTAGACAACAAGACAGCAGTGCACAAGTGATAAAATAAAATGAAATGCTAATGCAATGGGTTAGTAGAATAAGGCTATGGGTTAGTATAAAATAAGATAATAAAGGTAAAGTTAAAAATATTTTAAAAGTTAAAAAATATTAAAAAATAAAGTGCACTATCGAAGTGACAAAGTGACGAGTGAAAAATTACAGTTAAAGTGACATGTGCAGTATGAAAGAGTGTGACCAGGGGAATGACAGAGTCAGTCAGTCAGTGGGGGACCGGCTCTGTTGATGAGCCCGACTGCCGACGGGAAGAAACTGTTTGTGTGGCGGGAGGTCTTAGTCCTGATGGACCTCAGCCTCCTGCCAGATGGAAGGGGCACAAACAGGTTTTGTCCGGGGTGAGAGGGGTCGGCTACCATCTTTTTAGCTGCTTCAGAGACCTGGAAGCGAACAAGTCCTGCAGGGACGGAAGATTGCAGCGGATCACCGTCTCTGGCAGGTTGAATTTCTTCAGCTGCCTCAGGAAGAACAACCTCTGCTGAGCCTTCTTGGTGATGGAGCTGATGTTCATGGGTGATGCTGGAGCCCAGGAAACGGAGGGAATCCACAATAGTGACGGGGGAGTCACACAGGGTGATGGGGGAGGGTGGGGCTCTGTTCCAGGAAATCCACAACCATCTCCACTGTCTTTAGAGCGTTGAGCTCTAGGTTGTTCTGGCTGCACCACGACACCAAATGGTCAGACTCCCACCTGTAGGCGGACTCATCCCCACCAGATTTCAGTCCAATGAGGGTGGTGTCATCCGCAAACTTCAGGAGCTTGACGGACTGGTGACTGGAGGTGCAGCTGTTGGTGTACAGGGAGAAGAGCAGAGGGGAAAGAACGCAGCCTTGGGGGGAACCGGTGCTGATGGTCCGAGAGGCTGAGACATGTTTCCCCAGCTTCACATGCTGCTTCCTGTCGGACAAGAAGTCTGATCCACTTGCAGGTGGAGTCGGGCGGTGCACTTGGGAGAGTTTGTCCTGCAGCAGAGACGGGATGATGGTGTTGAAGGCAGAGCTGAAGTCCACAAACAGGATCCTGGCGTAGGTTCCTGGGGAGTCCAGATGCTGGAGGATGTAGTGGAGGGCCATGTTGACAGCATCGTCCACAGACCTGTTGGCTCTGTAGGCGAACTGCAGGGGGTCCAGGAGGGTCTTCAGGTGGGACAGGGCTAGCCGTTCAAAAGACTTCATGACTACAGAGGTCAGGGCGACGGGCCTGTAGTCATTGAGTGCTGTGATCCTGGGCTTCTTGGGAACAGGGATGATGGTGGAGGCCTTGAAGCAGGCAGCTTCAACCTGGGGCAGGTTGGTGGAGCTGTGGGGGATGGGATCAGGACATTGACCATCAAATCTGCAGTAGAACTCGTCTGCCAGGCGGAGGTCATTCATGGAGTGGGGGGGGTTTGGCTTGTAGTTAGTGAGGTGTTTGAGGCCTCTTCAGACCAAAGCAGAGTCACTTGCTGAGAACTGTTGTTGGAGTTTCTCAGAGTACAGTCGTTTAGCATCTCTCACCGCCTTGCTAAACTTGTATTTTGACTCTAACTTTAACCCAGGATCCATCAAACCCCATCAGCTATAGACCAATAGCGCTAACGTTTGTAACGTAATGGAACGAAAGATAACAGAAAGGTGTACATGTGAGCTTGAGAAAAAAGAGAATGATGGCAAGTTGATAGAGTGGATTTAGGAAGGGAAGGAAACACCATAGATTCAGTAATACGGCTAGAGGCTGAAATTAGAGGAGCTCAGGCAAACAGTCCGTCTTAGGAGTGTTCTGTTACATAGAAAAAAACTATAACATGATGCAGAAGGAAGGTTTTCTAATTAGGCTGCATACATTAGAAAAAAAATAAAACAAAGGATTTTTGTTTGAAAGGAAAGTTTCAAGTTCGGGTTGGGTCAGACGTCAGAACAACACGTAGTTGAGAACGGCACGCCTCAGGGTAGTGT